CACTGTTGTAGAAAGTGACTGACATCAGGGTTGGGGTAAGACTGAGAAAAACTGCATAGATTATATATACTGAATTGAAACAGATGAGGGAGAGAACAGCTTAAAAGTGACATATGATAGCATATTATGATTATTCTAATTACTTTTTATTCTCTGATTAATTATATTCTAGAGATAGACAAGGAACTTTAGCCTTCTTGATTTTTTATTATTAGTTTATTTACCAAATTCTATTATGTTTTTCCCCAGAACAGATTCTTCCAATTTCCTTCATGCCCCCATCAAATTGTATAATCTCATGATTAATTCCCCCTCCTCCTGCATATCCTTATCCCTCTGCTTCCACTCTCCCCTCTCTTGGATCCTTATACTCACTCTACTATAATGGTTTTATACAATATTTGTCCTTGTGGAACTGAGTTAGTTCACTCAGCATAATGCTCTTCAGCCCCTCCCGAGTTAGGTAATAATTTATTGGTCCCGCATGCTGCATAGTATTCCATTGTGTGACTGCACCATAATTTCTCAGTCCATTCATTTGTAGTTGGACATCTGGGCTGTTTCCGTGTTCTTGCAATGATTAATAATGCTATTATGAACATTGGTGTACAAATCTCCGTTTGTGCCTAAGTTCTCAATTTCTGAGGTTATATTCCAAGTAGTGGAATAGCTGGGTCATATGGAATTTCCATGTTCAGCTAGCTATTTGAGGAAGTGTCAAACTGCCTTCCAAAATGGTTGTACCATTTTACAATCCCACCAACAATGTGTAAGTTTCTTTCTTGCCACATCCTCTCCAATATTTATTACTTGCTGCTCTGCTAAACTTTGCCACTGTTACTAGAGTGAGATGGTACCTCCTTGCTTTCTGTTGTTAATTGGGTGCCATATGGTCAAGTACAACTCATAGTAATCCCATAAATAGCAGATCTGAATCTTGTCCTATCCTGCGCCATCCTCACCATGTCTGGTGCATTCAAGCCCATTGCTGCAGTGATTATCTCAATCTACCTGATGGAGTGTCTTCCTCTTATTGGCCATCCCTCCACCATTCCAAACATGATGTCCCTCTCCAAGGAAAAGGCTCTTCTAGCAACATGCCCAAAGTATGCAAGACAAACCTTTATCATCTTTGCTTCTAAGGAAAATTTGGCTGCCCCCTATCAAGACATACCTGTTCTTTGAGCAGTTCATGGGATATTCAGTACTCTTCTAACACCACAGTTCAAAGGCATCAATTCTTCTGTCATCCTTATTCATTGTCCAGCTTGCAGATACAAAACAAATGTGCCTTATTTTATAGCAAATGGTAAATATTGTAGCATATTCATATATCATAGCATATTCATATATCATAGCATATTCATATATCATAGATCACCATATTACTAAAGTGTAAGTTCTTTGATTTTAAGTTATCTATTATTTTACTGAAGATTATCCAAAAACGACTGGAACAGCACATCAACAGAGAACTACCAGAAGTCCAGGCTGGTTTCAGAAGGGGTCGTGGTACTAGAGATATTGTAGCTGATGTTAGATGGATCTTGGCTGAAAGCAGGGAATACCAGAGGAATGTCTATCTGTGTTTCATTGACTATGCAAAGGCATTTGACTGTGTAGATCATAACAAACTGTGGCTGACTCTGAGAAGAATGGGAATCCCAGAACACTTGATCGTTCTAATGTGAAACTTATACTTGGACCAGGAGGCAGTCGTCAGAACAGAGCAAGGGAACACTGCATGGTTCAAAATTGGGAAGGGCGTACGCCAGGGATGCATCCTATCTCCATACCTTTTCAACCTATATGCAGAACAGATTATCCGGGAGGCTGGGCTCTATGAGGAGAAATGTGGGGTCAAGATTGGTGGACGAATTATCAACAATCTGTGTTACGCGGATGACACAACCCTGATTGCTGAAACTGAGGAGGACCTGCTGCAGAGTGTCAAGGACTGCACCCTACAGTATGGACTGAGGCTCAATGTCAAGAATACAAAGACTCTCACCACTGGACCAATTGGCAGCATCAGGATGGATGGTGAAGAGATTGAGATTGTACACAGCTTTAGTTTGCTTGGCTCCATAGTCACCAGTCTTGGCACCAGCAGCCAGGAAATTAAAAGGCTCATTGCCAAGGGAAAGTCTGCTGTTAGGGACCTCTCCAAAGTGCTGAAGAGCAGTGGTGTCTCTCTGGAGACTAAGGTGCGTCTGATACAGGCCATGGTCTTCGCAATCACCTGTTATGCATCAGAGAGTTGGACAATGGCCAAGGAGGATAGAAGGAGAATTGATGCCTTTGAGCTGTGGTGCTGGAGAAGAGTATTGAGGATACCATGGACTGCTAGGAAAACAAACAGATTTGTCCTGGAGAGGGTTAAACTGGGTGGCTCCTTGGAGGCAAGGATTCTGAGGCTCCGTCTAACTTACTTCGGACATGTTGTGAGGAGAGACCGGTCCTTAGAGAGGGACATCATGCTTGGGAGGGTGGAGGGACGGCGCAGGAGAGGAAGGCCCTCTATGAGGTGGATTGATTCAGTGACTGGGATAATTGGGATGGGAGTGTCAGAGACAGTGCGATTGACACAGGACAGAGCGGAGTTTAGGGCTGTTGTACATAGAGTCGCTATGAGTCGCAGGCGACTCGATGGCACATAACAACAACAACAACATTAAGGCTAGACAATGCTACTGGTGGCCTAGTGGCAAGAAGATGAACTGCAATACCAAAAGAATGAGGTTCGAGGCCACAGCTGTTCAGTGGTAGAAGGAGGGGCAATCTCCTAGGATCTGATTAACTGACTCTGAAAACCCACTGGAGGGGGTGAGCTATGGGTCAGTTCTGACTCTACAGTACATAACAACAACAATAGTAAAGAAATATTGGCTGATGGTTAAAAATTTTTGGGAAAGGGGGACTGTATCAGATAATCAGTGATAAACTAGAGAACTAGACAATGCTTGATGAAATGAAGTTATATCCTGGGAAGAAGGTAAATATTAAAAAATGTCTCTTTAGAATCGCAAATTTCACAGTATAGAAAACATTGGAGTTCAAGAAAATATTTTTAAAACAAGTTGTCTTAATAATGTTGTACACTACAAAGTATAATTAATTGTATGCCATAATTCTCCTTCAAGATTATACTTCTTAAAATAGGTAGTAAGGAGGTATCTGAATTAAAGTTTATCTTATAAATCCTGTTCATATACAGTCCCAACCCAGTCATTTAGTAGTACTCACCTTAATATAGTACTACATGCATTGACAAACATGATTCAAATTTAAATAAAATAAATTCAAATTTAAATAAAATAGTTCATATTATAATAAATATCCAATAGAAAATTGTAATCCAATGACATTCAAAATGTTATTTATTATTATAGACTAAATATAAGATTATATCTTAAATTATTACTAAGCAATGAATGTAAGAGAGTGAGTAAGGGATGAGTGAAGGGAGAAAAAACTAAAATCTCATCCGAAATAAACCTTAGCTTTTATAATCAAAGAAAAGAGTCCTTCATGATTTAACTTTGTCTAGTATCTTTAGAGAAAGGCAAATATCAGAGTTCCACTAAGTTCTTTATTAGCACGCAGATTATAAATGTTGAAATTCAGACGTTTAAATGAAAGATTTCATTTTAGACAGTTTTTAATGTTTCTATTTCTGTATAGTGTACACAGAATACAATTCCCTATATAATGGATTCCTTTTTCTTTAGATCTTTGTGTTTGTTTTGTGGGTGCCCTAAAATCTAATACATGATTTTATTAAAATATAGATTAGTATTTTTTAAAAAGAACATGTCTTCAATCTTTTATGTCTTTAAATACTGGAACAGAAAAATCTACCTAGCAATTTTTTTCTAAACTGACTTTTTTTTCAATTCCTCCCAAAGCTGCCTTTCACTGAAATAAAGGTCGGGAAAATAGCCTCTTATAATACCAAATCATCCCATAACCTGAAATGAGCCTGTTCAGTATTTGAAGAGGAAAATCGGGGAAATAATTTCTAAGATTCAAGATTTCCAAAAGCTTCTGCTCTTGCTTCGAATTTATGAAGATTTCAGTTAAAAGCATATTCTTTCCTTCAGCTTGCATTTTCAAGTAGTGTAGTAACCACACTTAGTGTACAGGTGTGGGTGTAGGCATGCAAATAAAATATCTTAATCAGACAGAAAAAAAAAAACCCAACTCTACAAAACTTGAAAGGGAGATACAGTGTATGAAATTGTAATGCTTAGGTTTGTGAATAATCAACAAACAAACAAAAAGTTGTGTCAGGTCAATCCAACCTATGAAAACCTTATATGTATTAGAAAAGGTTGTGGCCCTTAAGCTTTTCAGTGGCTGATTTTTAGATATGAGTTCCTTATCAGATAGGTCATTGAAATATATATAT